CGTTCAATCGGTTAAATAATATATATATATATATATATATATATATATATATATATCATTCGTGTATAATATAATGGTATATAATTAATATATAATTTATATATATATATATATCGACTAGAAAAGGTCAATGAATTCGGCTAGGTATTTGTGTAAAAATCTCCTATACTACATAGTTTGCTACTAATAATATAAGATTGAAGAATTCCATAGTCCTCATATTTCTAAGTTTTCAAATTGGCTTCATAATTTTTGAAAGAAAATTAGCGCATCTACTCATTAATGGTAATTTTGGTCTTGTTATTTATAGACCAACAAAGGCACAATTACCTCTCCTTTTCTTTTTATATATTCAAGTTCATTTACAAGTTTACTTACATATATGCTCACTTTAGCTTGTTCGTTGTAAGCCAAAATTCTGAATTCCTTCATATGCTAATAATCCTTACACTTTTAGGTTCCGTGACCCCAATAACTACCCACCTCAACTAACTCAAAATTCTTTATCAACGTACATGCATTGCATGTACTGTAAGACTTCTCTATAACAACATCTCTATATAATAATCATTCATTATAAAAACCAAATTTTCTCAGAATCGATCTTTTATATTATGTTATAATATATGTCCTCCATAACAGCACTTCACTATAGCATCCACAAAAAATATCGAAACAAATACGGCTGTTATAGAGAGATTTGAGTGTATATTATAGTCCATGACCTTTTTACATTTTTGGTTTTAACATTTTAGTATCCGACATCCACTAACCAACTAATTTATATTTGCGTCGGAAAACTCTTGCTATCAAGAATTTCTCATTAGCTTTTGCTCTAACAATGTATGTGTTAAAAAAATACGTAAATATATACAAATTTTAAATGCGCATAACTTGAACCTGGGACCTCTGATCAAGGATGAAAGGATATCATCTATCCCGCCACATCTTTCCTAATCTAACATATAACTTCTTAATTTTAGAATTTATTTCCGAATCCTTTTTTTTGGGTGCAAATTTAGCACCACGTGAGATTTATACTATTTGGCCAAGCTTCTCCAAGCCGAAAGCATTTTTTCTTTTTCTTTTTCAAAAATAAGTATTTTTTTTCCCTAAAAAAAGTATTTTTTTTCCTAGAGTTGAAGTGTTTGACCAAGCTTTTAGAGGGAAAAAAATGCTTTTGAGTAGAAGCAGAAATAATTTTGGAAAAGTAGAAAAAAATAGCTTCTATCCAAGTATTTTTTTGAAAAACACTTTTGAGAAAAATATACTTACAAACAATTTTTAAAAGTTTGACCAAACATTAATTGCTACTCAGAAGTACTTTTCAAACAATTAGTCAAATACAAATTATTTCTCACCAAAAATACTTTTAAAAAAAAGCAATAAATTGATTTTTGGGCCAAAAAGGCTTTTGTCCCTCGTCGAAGAATTCTCTATATGATAGTAAAACCTTAAAAGGAAAGTAAGCAAAAACAACCAACAGCTCCAATAAGCAAGCCAAAAACGTATCAGAACAGTACATGTGGCATGTACCATGTTTTGTGCATATCTTTCTTTCCCCAGAACTCAAACTCTCTCTCAAGATTGGACCTGCAATTTGCAAAATTCAGCTAAAAAGATACAAACAAATATTCAATGGAGAAAACTAAGAGAATCTTGATCTTTCTATCTTCTCCCGCAATCCTTCACCATTCCTAATATTCAGAGGCTGAACCTGAATTTAAATTTTACGGTGTTATAATTTTAATAAATTTTTACACATAAATTTATGTTACTGGTTGAAAATACCGATACTCTACATCCGCCTCCGCCAATACTCTACTTCAACCAACTTAAGAGTCACGTCCGCAACAAACCAACAAAAAACCCACTCATATTACCATCTTTTGTTTGCTCTGCACATGAAATCAGTTATACTTTGCTGAATTCAATTAGCACAACGGCTAAGAGAAAGAACCACTTTTTCATCATTCCCAATACTGTACTCGACTAACGTCTTAACAGTCACGTACACAACAACAAATACCAACTCATTTCACCTCATCAAACAACCATTTCTATACTCAATCTTGATTTCTTTAGATAACATTGTTTTTTTCCCCTCAATGCAATATTGCAATCAGAGAGTCTTCTTCCTATTTCTAACCCCTTTACATCCCCATCAGCAATGATCCCAACAAGTTCCTCTATTGCTGACACAATGTTACTCACATCTCAGGCCAATATGCCCTCCACAGTGCTTCTTGATCCTTCTTCATTTGATGATGATTCTAAAATTGAGATCATGCCCTTTATTTCTCTTAAGCTGTTGCGGTATCTCGGGTAATCTTTTTTCCCTTTTGCTCTTACTTTGTTGTTTTGTTTCTCAGTTGAATTTGTTTCTATGGGTGTATGCATTGTTTTGTTTTCTTGAACATGTAAAGAGTTTAAACTTAGCTTCTTGTGTCATTGTGTTCACTCTGTCTACTTTTAAAGAATCTCTAATTTGCCATAAAAGACAAATTATTAAGCATAAGAATCTAATTGGTCTGAGAAGAGTAGAACATATATAGAGAATTCATATAATCGACTTCAACGTAACCAGTTTTCGGATGAAGGCAATTAATTGATGGATTGATAGTGTCCACTAATGATTATCTTTTTTTTAAAAAATATTAAGCTTAGGTTTTTCTCTGTTTTGGGAAGTGAGAAGCAGGCAAATAAAGAAGAGAGGCAGAAATTGAGAAGTTGCACTAGGAGAAGGTCTTATGACTCTCATGGTTAAAAGTTACCTTATATGTTTCAGTCATATAAGGGAACTTGTAAATTAAACACATAAGAGGAATAACATGAGAGACAATTTTGATGCATAAAAAGAAATATTCATGACTAACTGTAAGACAAAAGGACAGTTTGATTCATAGTTTATGATAATCATTCTTGCCATGCTAGGAAAGAGCCTATCAAATTAATGAATAGAAATGTAAGTCTGTCATTTCACCTTTCGCAGTTAGTTTATGTATTTTGGATATTTGAGGAATATAAATGAGAGAAGGCAACAGTTTTGGTCAGGAGCCTTATTTGTTTGTTCGTAGGCTTTTTAGCTGTGCACATCCGTATAAGCAGTTTTCTTGTGATTGGAATATTGTTTTGATATTGCACTCTAGATATATAATGGAAAGGCTATTTGCTGTGTTGGTTTCTCACAATTAATTAAGCAAAATATGAACTTTGAACAAAAGCATAAATCAAGAATTTCCTGGAGATATTTTTACCACAAATCTTGATATTATCACTGAGTATATATATGTAAAGTTTCTAAATCAATTATGGTCCTCTATCTTTATTCAGGGTAAGCTACAGATGGATCACCATGTTTAATTCTTGCCCTTGGATGTTATGCTTTCCTAGTTTTATTCAAAGTCCGGAACATTTAAGATTATGTTGCTACTTAAGATCTATAATGATATAAAATGGACATAATCATCTTTCTGGCATCAGTCTTCTTTCAGATTTTCTGGTTTCGTTATCTTCCCCATCCCGATCATATTGCAGGCTTGATCTATACCTATCGAAAAATAACAATTGGGTGCGTTATTAAGTCAATTGCTTCATTGTCCTTAAATGTTGTGACTAACTTGAATAGCAATACCTGGAAAAAAAAATGCACCTTCATACGGGAAATTTTACGCATGCTTTATCGACTCATAAATTAGGAATAGTTATCGACATTATAGTGGCATGCATTGACTACAGATGATCTCTGTTTCATCTGAGCTAATTAGTAAAGTGTTACTAATTGGTGACTTGATATCCTCTCTCTTAATTTGCTTTACATATATATATATTAAGCAAGCAAACTGTTGGTTCGGGGTAGCTGCACCGAAGAATCAAAGAGCAGTACCCCCGTGTAACTTTTATTTTAATGAGACACTCTTTCTCGCTCAAAATAGCATAACTTCGATCTGACCATATTTATCTATAATAATTACAAATAAAAGGAGACATAATTTTTCGATATTAACCACCAGACATTATAAAGAAAGATTAATTTACCATGACGAAGAGGACAAAGGTCCCAAATGCATTTTCAATTCAAAGTATATATATATATACAGTATCTGTAATTTTTCACATATTATATGAGTGAATACATGCTTCACTTTCACTTCCATCCATCAACAAGTCATCTTCTTACTTCTAACTGTAGTGTGTTAACTGCTCTCAGAAATTTTCCTCAAGGAACTATTAGTGATATGGTTAAGGATGTTTCTCAAGGAATATCTTTTGTTTGTAACAACATATATAGCTAAATATGGAGGTGATCCTAGCAGGTATAGTCATGTTCTCTTTCTACTTGCATTTTGGTTTTTCATTCTACAATTGTAGAATTTACTTAATGGGACAATCAGCTGGTGCACATATTGTTGCTTGTGCTCTTTTGAAGCAGGCAATCAAGGAAGCTGCCGAGAAAGAGAGATTCGTGGAGTGTCTCTAAAATAAAGGCTTATTTTGGTTTATCCGGCGGGTGAGTTCTTGTTCAAGTTCCCATTACTACATGGCCTGAGTCTTGAACACTTCTTTCTTCAGGTCATTTTCTTAATTAATTTTTCAGATAAAGTTCACAGAACTTCATTTCTCAACACTTGTGGACAGGTATAATCTGTTTAACCTAGTGGATCACTTCCATAGTCGAGGTCTATACCGTTCAATGTTTCTAAGGTATATATTCGCAGTCTTCTGATATTACATACTATAATATACTGCTTTCATTTAGCAGTTTTATGGCCGGCTTACTGATGTTTTATCTTGGTACATATGCAGCATAATGGAAGGGGATCAAGGTCTCGGACAATATTCACCCCAAGTAATGGTACAAGATCCAAACATTAGGAATGATGTTTCTCTCCTTCCTCCTACTATCCTTTTTCATGGAACTGCAGATTATTCCATTCCTTGTGACTCTAGGTCTTGAACCTCCACTTTATGCAACTTTTTACTTTTAACTATTGTTAACATCACAGCTGCTGCAGTTACCATTTTATTATATTATATATACTTGATAGCGATTGAATTGTTTATCTTCTGCTTATGTTTTACTTATCAACATAACTGAAATTTACCGACGAAGTCTTAATTCTTTATGCTGATGAAAACGTCGTCAAACATGAAAATAGAGTATTTGTAACATGTTTGCTGAGGGTGCTATCAGGAAAGGATCAGGACTTCTTTTTTGCAATTTTGTGTACCAATTATTTGCAGATATTCTCAGCAGATAAAGGCATTTGTCTATGGTGCTGTAGTTCTTGTTCAATAGTTGCAGCAGTTAATCTTTCCCCTTCGCATGTTTAATCTCTTCTTATTACGACTTTTTCGTCTGTAGGATCCGATGTTAGAAGATTTAACTTGGATGATTCATGGCAAAGAGTCCAAGAAAACGCCTTGTTCCTGAATTCATGCTGAAGTTGGCTTGCCGCTTGCCGCTTGTAGTGTGAGTGTAACAAACTGGATATCACACCCAAATCAACCGACTATATTAACTCACTAAACAGAATTACAATAATCAAATAAACACTAAAGAAAACAGACAGTAGATGAGATGAGAAATTGCAATCTGAAGCTAAGAAGAAAGGGGATGAGAAACTAGAGAGAAAGGGATGAGAGACCGACTGAGCCGAGGCTTCAACATAATTCGCATAATCCCCTCATTCTACCCGCTGGTCCTTTTTTAAATAGGTGCTAATTGGGCCTGGATCCCAACTCAATCTTTATGAAGGTGTTCTGGTCCTATTTCTCGGCCCAATAGCTGCTTGTGTGACAACATTGCAGGTATCCACATTGGACTGATCCTCGTTCATAACAGTGAGCCCTTTTTAGTTATCGCTATTCTTTTAGATGAATATAATCGTTCCTTATTTCTCTTTAGATCGATCATTGTAACATGCAAATGAGAAGAACAAGAGCTAACTATCAGACCTTTGAAGTAGCTAGTTATTATTAATTTCTGATGTTTTAATCAGTTTAGATTTGATGATTTGATTAATTGTTTCGAGTTCTTCTTGAAATAGACTAATAAGAAAAATATGTCACATAAATTGATACGGAGGGAGTATGTACAAGTAGGCAAAGGAAAGAATACAAATACGAGTATGAGATTATTCCATTAATAGGAAACCAAAGAGAAGAAAGTACAAGTCAGTGCTTTAATAACTATATCACTCATAAGTTTAAAAAGCAGCCATGCATTTCTTGATTAGTAACAGATCTGCATGCCATATTCTTCATCATACTCTTATAATTACTCGTTCTTCTTCTTAGTTTTTTGCAGCTGACTTGTTACCTGATGCCTAAAAAAAAGAATCAAATTTAAATCAGATTATTTGCATGAAACCATAATATTCAAAATTTTAAAAATTTAGATGCTACCTCTGGTAACAAATATTAGTCATCTTGATTGCTGACTTTGTTTCGAAATAATTGACGTTTTAGAAAAACAAACATAGGTCATCTATACATATATTTTCGGATCTTCCTTTAGTGTTCCAATATTAGTGGAGTATTAATTAATTGAGACGTTTAAGGAGAGATAACGCGTAATTTAGACAGATAAAATACAGATAATATGTATAGGTGAGCGATGTTAATTGACCTTCTTCTTAGGCTCACGAGGCTTTTTCTGGGCCGATTTGGAAGCGGGAGGAGCCTTAGCAGATGCTTTCTTTGCTGGGGCAGATGGTTGAGTTCCAACAGGTTTCTCAGCTTTGAGTGATGCCATTTTTCTCTGTGTTTAATTCTCTCCTTGCACTAAAGTAGGATTTTGTACTAATGTCTCTGAGTTTTTAGTTGCATCAAAGCATTTATATTTATAGTTTCGTTGGCACGGGGACAAGGCGAACTGGTAAGACAATGTCATCCTGTGAAATGGGAATAATAATATCAGAAGCCCAATTTGAAAGATGCTGCATCAGATGCTTAGACAAGGATGGCATCTAACTAAAGAATTTATGTACGTACTTCTTTTCGATATTTTGGTATAAAATTCGCGGTATGATATACACTTCTGTAGCGAAGCAATTGGAAATATCAGTTCCAAGTAGTAGACGGAGTATTTGGAATAATATCAGTTGGCAAATTACAGATGCTATCTACGACCGTCTTAATATGAAACCTGCGCCAATGCAAGTTGGCGAAGCATCTTCAGCGATTGCGTAGCATCAGTTTGTAGATTTTTGAGATGTTATTCAAAGTTTAATAATGCACAACATATCTTATCATAATTCTGCTGGCACTCTGCCAGTTTCTGAGATAACTATCTAATCACTTTTTGTTTTTTCAACAAAGGCATTTTTTGCCATATTGAATGTTTTCGGATTTTTAACTACGGGTATGTTTGTTCAAATTTTGCCGTATCTTATCATAATATGCTGGAGTTCAAATTTTTCACTTATGAGATTCCAGCATAATGTGTTGGAATTTCATTGTGTTGTAGTTCCAACATAATATGCTGGAAGATTACATGTAGGAGCTCTATAATCCAACATATTATTCTGGAATTTTTCGTATTTCAGCTAGGGTATTTCGTTCTAGATTTCATTTCCGTATAAAGTAGTTGCTATTTTTCAATAACTATGCAAACGTATACTATTTTTCAATTACCTGTGCAAAAATTAGGTAGCCCATGCTATTTTCACGTTAACGTAGGCATGGGCCAAAGTAACCCATAAAATAACAGCCCAAATTCAACCCACGAGTATGCCCAAACTTGACCTTCTATCCCTGTGATGTCAGTCATGCTACTACTTTGCAGGTAGGTCAATTTGGGAAGACTGGGTTGTGATCCATAGTTTTATCCATCTGTACTTGCTCATTTAGCCCAAGTAAATTTTGGACAGTTTAAATAAATCGCCCATTCATTGACTAGCTAGTTGTAAACTTGTTATTATAGTGTGGGTTAGCCACTTTGCAGCCCGTGGTTATTTATGAATTTTATCCCATTTGCCACCATTTAAGTGTCCATTCCTCCTGTCAGTTTAAGCATTTTCTTATTCTCCACATGGAACTTTTGACAAGTAAGATCTGAAAATTTTCTTTTAATCTTCATATGCTCCATCTAGAGAAACTTCCAAATGTTTTTTACTACCAAATGCCAAGACACAAAGCCTTCATTTACTATAAAGTTAAGGCCCAAATTTTGGGAAGACATTGCCACCAAGACTAGCAGTTTGAATGTAATAAATTAACTTTCTGCTATTCTTGTCCTCCTTTTTTCTTTCCTAGGGTTAATAGTGGCTTACAACTGGAATCAATAGTTTCCAATCACTAGAATGGTCTCACAATCCTAATCCTGTTTNATATATATATATATATATATATAATTGGAAAGTAAAGTACCTGCCAACTCTTTTTCTTTTCTATTTTCTTATTATTGTTTAAAAGACGATGTCAAGTAATCATAAGCATAAAGATACTTCTAGGATCATGATACCACAACTACATAATTAAGTTTTAATCTCTAGTTAGGAATCTTCAATATCAATTTCGTTCAATTTAGTCTCAATTCATTACGATATTCAATAGTTTGTCTTTTAGGGTACGGGAGATTATTTGGTGACAGCTTGTTTGGATGGTTGTTACTTGTTGTATTGTATCGTATTATTACTTTACATATAATATTTGTTTTAATTGTTGTTTAAATTTTATTGTATCGTATCATTAAATCGTAACGACGAAAATTGCCACTTTATGTAACGACCGATTTGGTGTGGTCGCGTAGTTACCTTATTTTTTTCCTCTCATCTTACCCTTCAGTATTATTAAATAATCATATTTTATTTTTTATTCTACATTTTTATATAATAATTCTACCTTGTACTTTACTTTTTCTTTTAAATTTGTGCAAGTTTATTCTTCATATTGTTTCATGAAATGATCGCAAACAATACAATCTATCCAAAAAATATATATCAAAATAATACAATACAATATTATATGATATATTATGAAAAGACACATAACAACAATCCAAACAAGCTGTAAAGCTCCTCAAAGGAAAATGATGTGAAAAGAATTATTTTACAATTTGAACTTGATTAGCTTGCAAAAAGGCAATTAAAACAAGTACAACCAGCAACATGAATTCAACCATAATCGAAAGTGAAGTTATTCCTTTGTGCTTGTCACACATATTTTTACTCCAAAAGATATATGTGTTATGGATTATTGTGGGTAAAAGAGTTTTTTCAATTAAAGTGATAAATTTGAATAGAGATTATTTTATTTACAGAGTCGCCACTTGAAATTGAATTTTTGGGTGCTCCAAGTCACCATTTATTTGAATCCCTAGTCAAAGGAAGGTTTGACTCTATTATTATTGGTCTGCGAAAATAAAGTCCGGATAAGGAATTCTGTTGACCGGAGAGAAAGTGTAAGGCATTCCCCGAGTCTCATGGTTCTAGCACGGTCGCTTTATTGACTACATTTGGCTTATATTATTTTTGGATAACCTGTGTTTTATTGGTTCTCATGTTTTACCTATGTCCGCTTTTATTGCTTTATTAGATTTATGAAAATTATCTTGAAATAAGTCACGCGTACGTATACTCATTTTTGTTTGGCGTCAAAAATCATGTCACGCGTACGTGTATACAATCAATAACACATTTATTATTATTCGAAGTTGATTGGTCAAGTCACGTGAGCGCGCACTTGTATTATTTTCCTAAACTAATTTGAAATTATTGTAAGACCAAGAGTTTATGGATAGAAAATTATTTGAAAGTCGGAAAATATATTAGTTATTTAAAGTATTGAAAAGTCATCCACACTTAGAAATATTTATAACTTACTACTCTATCTTTAAAATTAGGAGACATTTATCTATTATGGAAGAATGAGCTAATTTATTAGTCTAGTGACAAAATTATTGGGCCTGACAGATTTATACTCAACCCAACCTATGTCTAATTCTTTCTTTTCTATTAAATGTGGTAACTTATTTCTGGTTCACTTACTTGAACTCCAACGCATGACCCATTAATATGGCAAGATCTTCATTCTTAATTCTAAATAGCAAATCTTATTAAGATGAAATCCTATTCCAATAATCTGTTGACAAATCACTTAAAACATGTAAAAAGAAACTACAACATGATAATGTGTATAAATAAAATAACACAAAAAATTATCACATGAACCTCTATAAGAACATCACACAAAACAATGAAATAATTAACAAATGGAGGATAAGCAATGAACCTTTAAGCAAAAACTTTCCTTTAGAACTTGATTAATGCAAAAACAATTCTGAGCCGAGCAAGTACACCAGACCAAAGGCAAATCGGCAGATGAGCAGAAAATCTAGCGACGAACCTTCTAAAATTCAAGCCCGGACCGATACTCGACTGTACCTCGTGAGGCTGCTGGTTTTTGGCATGAGAGAGGTAACTATCAATGAAGCTTCACAAGGTATTTTTAGGCTTGAATTTGAGGCATTTTTGGGTCTTAAACAGGGTGATGAATTGTTTGAATTTTCGAAAAAAATAATGAAACGAGTAGAAATTCACTTAGCGCAGAAGTTTCCTCTCAATTCTCTCCTCTATATTTACCTTCCTTCTCCTCTTTTCTCCTCACATTTCTCTTCTATTTATAGGAAAAACAATTCAAAAAATTTTCAGATTGTTTTTAATTATTTTATTATTCTTTAATTAAAAAGAATTCTCACTTTCTATTTTTCTTCTTTTAAAAAAATAAATAATTCCCCACTTTCCTTTACTTTTATTTTTTAATTTTTTACTTTTTTTTACTTTACTTTTGTTTTATTTTCCACTTATTTTACTTCTTTTTTTTTTTTAATTTCCACTTATTTTACTTTTTTTTTTATTTCCACTTTCTTTTACTTTTTTTAAAAAAAATCTTCAGCTACCTTTACTTTTATTTTTTAATTCCAACTTCTTTTACTTTTCATTTATTAAATTTTCACATTCTTTTACTTTTATTTTTTTTAAGTTTTCACTTTCTTTTACTTTTTTAAAAAAATAATTTTCACCTACTTTTTCTTTTACTTTTTTATTTCATACTTTTAATTTTCCTATTTTTTTATTCCCATCCGTAAATAAAAAATAATATTTAATTTTTTCAGTTTTATTTATTTATTTATTTTATTTTAAAATAAAGATAAAAAATAAAAAAAATACTAATAATAATAATTTGACCTTTTAAATTATTTTTAATTCTTACCCTATATTAAAAAAATATAACAAAGCTAAAAAATATATATATTAAATTTCTAAAAATATTTACATAGTAGAAGGTGATAAAAATTTAAATATAGTCAAAAATTAGGTGCTCACAGTTGCCCCTCTTTGCTTGGAAATATGAAGAGTATTCAGGCAAAGACTAGGTGATCCATGTGACTAATTTTTGACCAAACCGTTATATAAAAGGAAAATAAATAAAAGATAGGGTGTAACCGAGTCCTGATTTTGGACAGTCTATATATCCCGGGTTATAGGAGAATCAGGTCACGTGTAATTCAAGGAGAATGGTAGAATGATGAGTTGAGGAGTCGAGTGAGGTTCCGTCGAGGCTCCATTCCGTAATCCTGCTATTATAAAAAAAGAAACTAAACAAGTCTATCAGCTACGAGTTACAAGATTCCTATCTATGAGTCTTCTCAAACTTGATCTTGAGTCTTGACTGGTTCTTCATGCAGACTCTGATCTAAACCTTGATGCTCGCTAGTTGTAGGTACTAGTTCATTGTTCTATAGCTTCTTCTAATCAAAACAAGACTCCAATGCTCGTGGCTTTAGTCATGTCTTGAGCATTCCACATCTTTTCAATTGCTTTTCCATTGAAATGGAGACCCTATTCTAAAAATGAAAGAAATCAAGGAGTGGAGAC